TTGAGCTTAATTATTTTGAAGTTAGAGTTTTGTAAAGATTTAAAGGTGGTTACCTAGTTTGGCCGAAATTAGCTTTCTCGGTTCGAGATTAAAGCTAGCCCGCTGATCCCGCACCATTGGATGTGGTGACTCGGTATAGGGTGTAATAAGCCCGATTGAGGTAATCTCCGGCATCTTATCTTTTGCTTTCTTGTTCTTTTATTTTATATTCTCAAGCATAGTATTAAGTTGAATAAATGACATTAAGGGGATGAGTTTTATTTTATTGTTGTGCTGTTTTATTTTAAAGTATTTATTTATTGTAATAAGACCATATGTAAATGATCTTTTGACCAAAATAAACAAGGGTGATTATTATCATTAAATAAAAAAAATTTGTATTCCCCGATAAAATGTCACATAGGTCTTTCTTTCATAAATACATGAGACTATTAACGAAGAGAGAGAATAAAGAGAAAAACGTGAGACAATTGTAGTGTTATGTTAGTATATATTTTATAATAATTCAATAATTATTATTGAAAATTATAATAAAAGTAACTTATTTTTGTTATTATTAGTATTTATAACTAAACAGTTACAATTGCAGTATTTCTAGGAGATTAATATTTTCTTAAAAAATATATTATAATTGTATGATTCATATATCAAAAAATTAAATTGCTACAATTAAACAACGAGTATCACATAAAAATGAAAATTCACTTAATCCAAACAAGATGATGTAACATTCACTCATTTTTATGAAATTTTGAATGGGTACGAGAATGACAACTACTACCCATAGTATTTTATCATCTATAATCATAACTTCATGGCTCACATAGAAGTACAACCAATAACCAATTAAAATTATTTAGTTCTTACATTAAACACTATACAGACTTCTAAGCAAAAGTAATACCGAACAACTCTAATAACTAATGAGCCTTCAAATGAAGGCTCATCTAGTTCTCTCAAAGTAATCAAGGCTGCTAGATACATTTTTTCTTTTGCCTTCTTTCATGGCGTATAGCTGGGCTTCATCTATGGGTTTCTGGAAAAGAAAAACAAAACAAAAGAAAAAACAGAAATCCAAACTACATACAATATCAAAAGAAAATAGAAATCAACATACCTATGTAGAGGAAAAAATATATTTGCCTTGGAGAGAATTAGCATAGTCACATTTGTTGTATGTGAAGCATAGGTTAAAAGTTGAGAAAGAGAGTTGTGGCATGCATGAGAGAGAGAGAAGAGAGAGAGTTGTAGCATGCATGAGAGAGGGAGAAAATAAGAGGGAGTTATGGTATGCATGTGTGAGAAAAAGAGTAATGTGTATAGGAGAATTATACATGGGGAGAGAACAAGTAGGAAAGAGAAAGATGGGAGAGATATGTAGAAGAGAGGTATGTAGGATGGGAAAAGAAATATGGGAGAGATAAATGTGGGAATGGAAGAGAAATGTGAGAGGGAGTGAGAATAAATCATAAAGAGAGAGATGAATTTATTTAAATTGGGGAGAGAAAGGAATTTACTTAGATTGGGGAAAGAGGGAAGAGAAGGCATCACTATATTAAAAAAGGAAAAAGTTTATATAAGGTTGCAACCTTACCTCTACAGCTATGGATACACCTAAAAAATCCATTGAAAAAGATAGTTTTAATGTTGAAAAACCTTTCGATTGATCATCTCGACATCGAGATGTATGACCATGAAAAATAAAAAGATTTTAAGTCTCAGAAATAGTGCATTTTACAACATTTTATCTACACCGTCCATTTTCAAGATTTTCAGATGTTTATAGATCTACTTGATTTTAACCATTTTTGAAATTTAAATTTTTATAATTAGATATAAAAATAGGTTTTGAAGTAATCCTAAGAACATTTTACATCAAAATTATATACCATGATAAAATTTGAAGGTGCACCTTACCTCTACAGCTACGGATCCATCTGTATGCCAACTACACCCATTAAAAAGAGGGAAAAGTTTATATGGAGCTTGGGCTCTAAACAATCAAATCAGAACGTACCTCAAAACTTTCTCTAGAAGAGGTTGTTTTGATGCCCAAATATCATCTCAACATCAAGATGCATGGACATGAGAAAAACTGGATTTCAAGTTTTGGAAATACTGCATCTTGTAATGTATTTTTGGACCGTCAATTTTCAAGATTTTCAAATTTCCATAGATCTGCTCGATCTACACTATTTTTTAAGCTTTAAATTTTATAACTAAAGATGGAAATATGATATAAGGCTATCACAAAACTTTCCAGTATTGAAACTATATTTCTCAATACTATTTGAAGGTAGGTTCTAATTTGATTGTTTAGAGCCTCGGCTCTATACAAACTGTACCCTTAAAAAAAATAAGGTACTTCAAAGATGAAGTGTCATCATTCTAAAATAAGAGTTACTTATTTTTATGCCTTTGAATTCATATAGGGAGAGAGAAAATGAGAATATAGAAATGTTGGAGAGAGGAAAAAATGAGTAAATCAAATTTGCTTTAATTGGGAGAGAGAGAAGATGATGTGTCATCACACAACCAAAAGAGTTACCTATTTGTATTTTTATGCATATGTGATGGAGAAAGATAGAGCTAATATAGAAATATGAGAGAGGAATGGAAGGAAGATGATGTGTTATCACACAACCAAAAGAGTTGCTTATTTATATGTATATGCATGCATGTAGTATGCATAGAGATATAATGGAGAAAATGAAGCAGAGATGAAAAGTAAGAGTCTTTTAAGAGAAATAAAAGAGAGAGAGCGTGTAGAAATGTGGCTGGAAGAGAAGGTATAAGAATTGAATGAAAAAAAATACAACGCGATAATAAAAGAGGTGTTGCTCTCGCTTAATATATAATAATAAATAGATAAATAACAAGTTGGTTATTTTTTGGAAATTTACCCTTGGCATTTAACGAATCTTTAATACTACGCAACACGTAGCATCGTCATGAACAAAAATTTGGGGTTGAAACTATTGTCTAATATGGTCCCTTGGGAACAGATTGTGTTCTTAATCCAACATGAAATTGAAACACTTAATAGTATCTAGTAAATCTAAAATATAGGGATATATGATTATATGAGTATTTAAAACAAAAAAATTAAATTTTTGATTTAAAAATTCAAAATAGAGCTTTTATTTGATAGATCATAAACATTTAGGGTACACAATCAAATGATACTTTATATATTTTAACAAGTGAGATAGAGATAAATCGTGTGATGCAATTCTTGATTCAGACCTAATCACACCTCCGTGTCAGTAGATTTACGTGTTAATAGATTTATTGATGGACACGTGGCAAACCTCTAATTATTCTTCTCATCCAAACATAATATAGTTTTTTTTATTTTTCATCCTAACCAAACTCCAAACCTAGAATGAATTTCTTGCTTGACACCTAGTAACGAACCTGCTCATGTTTTATATATAGAAGATTATTGTAAGTGTAAAAAATTTGGAGAAATTAGTGCAATTTGACTTCAATTTATTTTTTTATTCCTACAATATGTCTTCAAAATTGATCACAAACCACAATAATTATTCAAGAAAATTCAATCTTATCATGATAAAAAATTACCTCCCATTTAATATTGCTCACTTTCTGTGATGATATTTCGATCAAATACAAAAAGTGAAGTTTGTATAACATATTATATGATATTATTGAAGTAAGGTGCACCTCAAAACAATGCCGAAAATACAGTTTTGGTGCCACAAAAGCCTTGTGATGATATGGAAATATTGTTGTCCTTAATTATGAAATTTAAAATTTTAAAATCAGTGATTACATACTTGAAAATCTTGAAAATAGACGTTTCAGATAATATATCAAAAAAAACTATATTTAAAACCTATCAAAATTCTTTTTTTTTTTCGTGTCTATGAATCAAGGTTGGGATAACTCATTTGAGAGTTTTCCTATACTAGTATAGAAAAACCCTCAAATGGGTTTTTTTAGTGCACCTTGCTCCTTACTCGTACATGTCACCTTATATAAACTTTTTCCAATACAAAACACAATACAAAACAACCTTCACGGGGGCACATATGAAAGAGAAGAGCATTGAATGAAGAGGTGTTGGGAAAACCCTAGTATTGCTTTGCCCTTGTATTAAGCCAATATTATTAGAGGTTCTGAGAGGCGGCGACAAAATTGGTTGATAAATATAAAAGAAATGAATCAATTGGTGGTATTCTTGGGATGGGGAAATCAAGCTTTTAGTGCCATTATAAGATAATCTACATAAAACCCACAAAACTTGTAATTTCTCCCTTGATATTGAATGCGTCCTTATTACCTGTGGATATAGCTCATCTATTGCACATATTATTACTCTTGAGCATCTTGTTTTTTCTAAAGTCGGCTTGCGAGCAAATGATTTTTCTCAAACTTTGAATAGGGAAATGACACATGGTAACTTCCAATTTTAAAATAAAATACCTAAAGATGGTCGTCAAGGATGGATGATCTCATAGTATTAGATCCCAAATTCAAAATACAAATATTAAAATATAAATAAAATGAATACCAAATTGTAGGGTGAAAGGCCACACTACTACGTGTGAGATGGAACGGTTGGTTCCACAAGCATCTCTCCTAGCAACAGAGGGACCGATGAATCTATCCCAGTTATACGGAGATGAGTGTAGTTGGTAAAAAAAAGTAATTATTAATGTAAGAAAATTCCGAGAAATTTACGCTCATGTACCGCTAAATATCCACTATTCTAAATATCCCCCCATTTTTTGTTTTTTACATTCATACTCATTCAACTACATTTTCAATGAAATGATTGAAAGAAGGACATGTTGATCAGTCCTAGGAAACTATGGAAGATTCAATTCATTCAAAGCAAATAAACTCCTGAGATTGCCTCTAAATCTGTGTTCAAAGTATAATATACCAAGGATTTTTTACCAAACTGCAAATGATGAAAAATGCTTGATTGCTCTCGACATTGAATCTCAGTAAACATACTGTACTTTTCAGTATTTTGGTGTCAAACCATTCCTTGATATTTCATAAAATAGAGTAGTCGTTCTAAAGAACTGCATCCTTTTTTGTGAATCTTGTTTAGTAGATTAAATCAATACATAAACACGTAAGCCTCTGAAAAAATACATATACACATGATGATACAATAATACTACACAGGTTGTGAAATGGTTAAGGGTGAGAGAACATCTTACGAAGCAGTGCCCTTCGATGATTTCTGGATGTCCAACTCATGCTCTGCTACCATGATGCAAGAATCAGCTTCCAAAGAAGAAATGGTGTTCTTCTCTCCAATCATGTACGAGGAGCTCCCAAAAGAGAGCATGTCTGGGGTGCATTGTACATCAGGTGCAATCCCAACCTTATCGATGTCATGCAAAGCTGGGGATAGGTATTTTGCCACTGTAACAAATAGTGCCGACCCATCATGCAGCTCAGTAACACTCTGCATCACCGAAAGCAATAGTTTCTTTACTTCTTTTCCATGAAAAACACACATGCACACAGCTTACAAATATGAGCAGAATATTGAAAGGAAATATTGAAGTAGCCATCTCTCTCTCTCTCTCTTTCTCTCTCTCTCT